TTTCAGAAAAATTATAGAACCACCACTGCCTTTTGTTCACTAGAGATTGGCAGTTCAAGGGCTAAAAGTATCCAAATGATTCTAATGAAGGTGTAAGCCAGGGGTCTCCAACCTCCAACCTCCCAAGTAGCTCGCCCAGGAATTTCTGAATTATATATATTGTTCTGAATAACTCAGATTTGATTGATTAAATGCATATTTCCTTTCTAAATGTACAATTTGGTGCCTAGTTTTGTGCACTGATAACTGGATAATGGGTTATGTTTTACAGATATCTAACTGTACCTCATCTTCATCTTCCCATGGCTCTTATATTTACAAAATTTCTGTCAACCGCTAAAAACAGTAGCTCTCTGCCGTTTTCGTTATACAAAAAGTAGCTCACAGAAAGAAAAAGGTTGGAGACTCCTGGTGTATGGAGTTTAAAAACACAGTGGAGCACTTCCTGTATTACCACACGGCATCACAAAGTGGAATAGATGTTTTCTGTTTGAGAGAAGTCAGCCTAAATATGCAGGATTTGTGCGTTAAACATGTGTGAATGAAACAAAACACAACTCTGGGTCTGTTTTTGATGAGGAAACAACATTATAACATAGGATAGATCAGAAAATAGCGTAATATGGACCTTGGCGTTTCACTTTATACGTTCATCTTTAACTGGGCCCATGACAGTCGAGTTAATGAACACTGAATTAACTAAAGCGTCAAGTCTAAAAGGCAAAACAGAGGTTGCTAGGTAACCAGTGTTATCTAAAGCACTGCCACTTATCAGGAACAATGAGTTGACAGAAAGATTCGAAGGAGAACTGAGCAACTCTTTATAAAAGCCCTAATAAGAATTCACATCAAACAAATATTTTTTAAGAATAGTGTACTATTAAGAATGATTCAGGCTTAATAACCTCTTCACTAATATCTTAATTAGCACTTAACTTGCAAATAATTGGCCTGTACTTAATATAGTTCATCATAATTATTTCATACTTAGTTACTCATTAACTGACCTTCTGTGTGTGAGTATTTGGATATACAATTGTAAATATCTGTAATCTGTTATTTTAAAGCACAATTCATTAAAGGTGTACTAACTTTTTGGTTGGGGGTCCGTCACCTTTTTGTTTTTCGATGGAAATGTAATCACAGTCATATAAAAATATAGCTATATCCTACATAAAAACTGTTTTTTTTTATTATATACAACTCGCTGGTAATGCCCTACATAACCTACTGTATTGAGATTTGTGGCAATACTTATACGACTAATACAAATCCAACCTTTACACAAAAAAGGCAAATAAGACTAATACAAATCCAATCTTTACCTCACAAAAAAAGGCAAATAAGACTAATACAAATCCAACCTTTACCTCACAAAAAAAGGCAAATAAGACTAATACAAATCCAATCTTTACCTCACAAAAAAGGCAATAAGAGCAATAACATTATCAACTTATAATGAACCAACCAATGCATTATTTATAAACCTTCAAACTCTGAACTTTTACGATTTAGTCGACCTTTACATTTTGACAATCATGTTCAAAGTAAACAACAATCTCTTGTCAAAATCATTACAGAATATGTTCAAAACCCGAAATAGTCGATATGAGTTCAGAGGTACGGCCGTGTTTATCAAACAGAAAATCAGAGCAAACATTATGAAATTTTGTAAATCTGTTAAAGAGTGGACCTCTGGAACAACTGTACAGAGAACCTAAAATTGTGCACCACTCTCTTCCATTTTATAGAAGTTTAAATGTTTAACTCTGGGTAGATACATGAAATATGAGACTTAGTTTGTGCAGAACTTTGCTTTGTTTCCTCTTGCTGTATTTATGAATATCAACTGGTGTCAAAATGATGCTCTGATTAAGAAATAAAGGGTAGACATAAAAAGCTCAAGTTTCAGCCTACACCTTTTCATTCTATGTATGCTAAATATGTTAAATATGACTGTCTGTGAAATAAATAAATACATCTAAATGTCATAGGTCTGCTCTGAAGGTTCCATAGTATGACATTTAACAAGCTCTACACTGCATTTATTCAATTACAGGTGATTTTATAGCTTAGAAATTACTAGAAAAACAAGCATTCTAATGAGGTTGCCACTCCTCAGATCTAACTTGTAACTTGGACTGGTTTGGTGTCTATGATGATAGAAAGGTTTAATGTCATACTGTGAAACATTTCAGACTAAGTAAGAACATCTCCATGGAAACAGCAGGTGGCAGACCCTCTCCTGTAAATATTTCCCACTATAGGTTTGAAGAAGAGTAATAATGACATTTGAGGTGTGCCATGCTGGAATTTTGTAAGGAAGTAAGTCTTTATTATATAGCGCTTTTCACAGATATTTTTGTCACAAAGACACTTTACAGAGCATTATTCATTCACTCTATCCCTGGTGATGGTAAGCTACTATTGGAGCTACAGCTGCCCTGGGGCAGACTGCCAGAAGCACGGCTGCCATGCCAATTGGCGCCATCAGTCCCTCCGACCACCACCATCACTCACGCGCACACCACTTTCGTACTAGGCAATGTGGGTGAAGTGTCTTGCCTAAGGACACAACAACAGTTTTTGCAACTGGCGCCCCCCTGTGGTACCTGCTTTTCCCAGTGTCTCCCATCCAAGTACAAACCAGGCCTGGCCCTGCTTAGCTTCTGAGATCTGAAGGGATCAGGCTTTTACAAGCCGGTATGGCCACAATTTTGAGTTCAGTATAGATTAAAAAATGGAGGGAATGTAATAATAAATAATTCTTGCAAATGTCATTATATAAAGTTAAGTAGTTTTTTTTGTTTTTTTTTCAATTATTATTATTTTATATTGTTATAGTTATGTACAGAGATGGCTGGTTGCACATGTTAGATATAAATAACTACACCACAGCATTCACAAGTGCATCATTGACATTATTTGTTAAGGATGGGCTCCGCAAAAATAATTCAACCCCTGAAATGTGATTGTTGTCAGCTGAAAGAACTTTAAGCCATAGGATTAATATGACAAGTGTCTAACAAATAGTGATACAGTATTTCCCACAGGCTTATACTTAGACTATGGTGGCACAAGTGATCCCTGTTTGAATAATTTTAATATAATATATGGAGAATAAGTGTGACTTTATGGCTCTGCTGATTAAATAAAACAAAACAAAAAATACAAATCAAATATAGTTGCTTCTGTATGTTTAAGACGATACTACAGTTTACCAGTTTTTTGTTCAGGTTAATTATAGGCTATAGAGGCAAAAAATAAATAAATACAAGGCTTTTGGGGGCTTTTTATAGTCTTCTTTTCTTGAGAAACACTGAACGATAAAGTTATGCATTTGTGGATCACAGGTCTGGATATTTCCTTCAGAAAATATCCTCTGCCCCTGCCCTGCATCTGAAATTATGACATCCTTAAATCTTAGAACGTGATCGCAACTTATATAAACTATGGCCCCGTCCACACTTGTACGTATTCGAGTTGTTTCCGTTGTGGATGCAGTGTTCGTCCACACTAATCCGATGGAAAACGAACGATCTGGTGCCGCCAGCTCCCATGAATTCATCTGAGTACTGATCTGATCCAGCACTGTGTGGACGTCTGAAAACACTGATACACTGATGTAGGTCTATGCGCCGTGAAGTAATTCACCGCCAAAAGGCTAAGAGACTAGAATATATGTCCATTCATATATACGGTCTGTGTGTGTGACCTCCAGACGTATAATCTCTGAAAAGTTTAACATGAACCATTTCCAACGCGATAGAAACACAGAACAGACTCACCATCAGCAGAACACCCCTCTGTCACAGAAAGAACACTCATATTCCACTGAGTCGTGTCCTTTAGTCCGACAGAAGCTGAACCGCATCAGCGCACAATATCGAGCTGTTTTTTGAGTGCTCAGTTTATGCAAATTAGTCATGTGATTTTAAGTTTAGTTTCTGTAAAACGTAAACAAATATACTCAAAGCTGTGTGGATAGGGAAGGCTTGCGGACACAGAAATGATGTATCTGGACGCAAATCGTTTCCAACGCGGTGATACGGTGTTTCGTTTCAGTGTAAACGTAGTCTACATTGTATAGACTACATTCATACCATACTCCATACAACTAATAACCCTATGTCCTGTCAATCATCATATCATCACTGTTTTCTCCTTACAACCTCTTCAATATAGCTGAGATACATTTTAATATTACTTTCTAGATTTTATTTTTACTTGTGCATTTTTACTTGTTGACACGTCTCTTACTATGTTTATTACTTTGCTATATTTTTAATCTTTGTTATTATAATATATTGTGATGTGTGAGCTGTCCAAATAATTTCCCTTGTGGATCGATAAAGTTTGTCTAAGTCTAAGCCTAATGAGAACATGAACTGACGTCACCGATAGTGTTCCACTCAACTCAAATAAAGCTTCTATATCAGGGGTCTCCAACCTGTGGCTTTGGAGCTGCCAGAAGATCTCCACCTCCTCCCAAGAAGCAGCTTGCCAAGGGATTTTTGATTTACACGTTCCGAGCTGAAGAAGTAAAACTTACCATTGTAAATGTGTCATGTTTGATGACTAATGCTGTGCACGTAGTGAAAATATAAACATCTAACTGTGCTCCATCTAAGGCCGTGGCTCTTAAATTTATTACATTTCTTGTGGCAGCTAAACTAAAGAGCTCTTTGGCATTTTCATTTTGTAAAAGTAGCTCACTGGAGGGAAAAGTTTGGAGACCCCTGCTCTATATCATGAATAGGACTTTTTAATCGACAAAATAGCAAAATAAAAACACCAGAGTCATTGATATGAACATTTTAAGACCAAAATGATGAGGCTCGCTGCAGCAGACGGGCGACAATATTCTAGTGTAAGTCAACGCGAGCTGAAAGAGCCCTCATGCGAACTTCTTTTTTGGAACCAGTGTCCATTTATATATACAGTCTGTGGTTGTGAATTCATGTTATATCTGACATTTAACTAAATCCATTGGCACTCACCCCATTGCAGAAACCCGGACACGTACTTCTCCCTTGCGAACGGCGATGTGCAGAACTCCTGGTAGACCCCCACGAGCAGATCCAGCAGCGTCTGTAGCCCTACTGCCCCCGTGCACTGGGGCCCCTCCGCCGACTCCAGCTGTCCCTGGCCCTTAGACATCCTTCAGTGCCTTAACAGCGTCCACCTTCTTCGTCAGCACCATCCCAGCTCTTTCTCTGTTTGTTTTGTGCTTGTTTTAAGCTCGTACGTCCTCACTCCTTCAACAGACACATCCTCTTTTACTCTTCCTATGTGTTCACTTTCTTCCTCTTGCAAATTCTACCAAAAATGTGTGTCTTTGGTCAAGATTTCTGTTTCAGCACCATGCCAGCTTTGCCTGTTTTGAACCCCACCCCTGGCAAGCTGTGCGTCCTGACTTCCCTCAGTCCTTCAACAGACACATCCTCTTTTACTCATCCTATGTGCTCACTTTCTTCCTCTTGCCAATTCCGCCAAAATGTTTATGCCAGCTACTCCTCTGTCAAGTTTTCTGTTTCAGCGTCCGGCAAGGGTGTCCACTCTCTCCACTCTTCTTTGTTTCACTGTCTCTCTGTATCTTCTCAGCTGCTTAACTCTTGAAACAAATCAATTTCCGATTCAAAACCTCAACAGTTCACACCTTCTTTTTTGTCAGCTCTCTCTCGCTCTGCCTCTTTTCGGACCCCGCCCCTGGCACGCTGTGCACCACAACCACCGCAACCGCCCTCACCCCTTCAACAGACACATCCTCTTTTACTCTTCCTTTGTGCTCACTTTCTTCCTCTTGATAGTTTTGCCAAAACGTTTAGGCAATCTTCCGTTTTCTGCTTCAGCATCCGGCAAGGGTGTCCATTATCTCAGCAATTGTTTGCCTGTATCTTCGCAACTCTTCTGCAAAACTTTTTAGACCTGTCATGATAAAAATAAATAAATACATAAAGTGAATCATGATATTTTGGATAAAGGAACCATAGACAATAAATTTTCTCTTGAAACTAATTCATAGTACTGACACAATAACTCTGAATGTGCAATATTGTTAAGAAAATAGTACAATAAAACGTCTTAATTGTTAGTTAATTATCTATAATGAGTCTTTGGAGTTGTCAGATCTTCGTTATACAATAAAATAACACTTACATGAAGAAAAACTACTCACCAAAAACTATTGTACAGCTATAAGTTATTAAAAGTTGATTTAGAAATGATCATAACAGGCTGGTTAATTAAAAATAGTTCTGTTCTGCAAATGTCACAAAGCCTCTGTACCTGTTGCAGTTTGTTTACATAACTTCTCTTCCTCTTCAGAACAGGAACCAGCGAACTGCACAGCTGAAAGTACTTCCAAGGGCACCAAATCTCTTGTTTTGTCAACCAGCTCTTCCTCTTGTCACGTTTTCCGGTGGACTGGTGGTGTCTCCCCTCCGGTAGTCCATTCGTGTGTTCAGTTCACTCGGCTGGTTCCTCTTGTCTGCGCGTCTGCAGGGTCAGCTGGTGTGTGTCTACTGCGCTTTCTGCCTCTTCTCTTTCACTCCTCCCCAAAGTTTTTTTTTTTTCTTTTTTTTTTCATGTGAACTCGTGCTCCTTCCACTGGTGTTGTTATAAATAAAGCAGAGTTGATACAGACCACTGCCCTGTAACGGTTTGTACTCCCTCTGCAACGTATTATTTAAAGCCAAATATGTAACTTTTTGGCCAAAACTTAGACTAAAATAAAAGCATGTGTGACCAGATGAGGGGGCTCTGATGCCAGATTTTATTAATTGGTATATTTGTGTATTTAACAACAGCGCCACCTAGCTGAACCAAGGCAGGATTTACAGTATAGGCAATTCAGTAAATGTAAACACAGGTCTGTCGAGTTTAAAGTTGCACTGTGTAACTTTTGTGGTGGAGGGTCTGTCAAAGGTTCTTCATGTAGACTTTATTGCTTTGTCTTATTAAACCTTTTAATCATCATGGAGACCAAACCAGACAAAGTTACAGGTCAGATCTGTGGAGAGGCAGACCCGCTCACAGCCAGAATGTGTTTTTTTTTCAAGGTATTTTTGAGCTATAAAACCACTTGTAATTTAACATATGTAAGGCGGAGCTGTTTAAAGTCATACTGTGGAACATTCTAGGCAGAGCATTGACTTAACCATGGAAACAAGCAGGTGATTGATCCCTTATCAAAAACATACACAGTGCACTTTTAAAATGACAGATGCATGTTAGACTTAAACAAACTGTATTGATCCATTTGATTTGAAAGAAAAACAACAATAAAGAGATTTTTGTTATAATTACAATAACTGTTGATATTTTTATTACGATGTAGTAAAGTGTTGTATTAATGTCATATGAATTTTGAGATAAATGTCCATGAGCGTGCTGTAGCTGGAGAGAAGTGGAGGCACAATAAGCTTCAACTTCTGCCTACACCTGGTCAGCGACCTGAATATGTTTTATTTTATGACATCAGACTGAATATAATGGATGTAGACTGTAATAATTTAAACACTGACCAAATAAACACATTAATGAATGAATGAAACCACCAGGGAAACTATCTTGGACACAGTAGCTCACACATCACATTATATTATAATTAAAAAAAACAGCAAGAAGGTACAAATATTTTAATTTATAAATAAATAAGATTTGCTAAATAGAGCAATTTCAGTGTTTACTGCAAGTTCCTCCATCACTGTTCCTACACAGTCAGTGTATCATTCGTTCATTCGTTTTCTAATATAAAACCAAAAATAAGAAAACAAAAAAACAACAGTTTTCTTCATTATTTGTCTCCAAAACCAAAATGAAAAAAACGGATAATGATTGTTTGGTCAGTAATAATGGAAAAAACAGATAATGGCCATTTCCTGTTTTCATGACTTAAACGGCGATGCCGGACTTTTGCGCCACAAACAGACTGAACCAGGACTAAACCAGGACTAAAACAGGACTAAACAGGTCTAAACCAGTTCTAAACCAGAATTGAAGCAGCACTATACCAGGTCTCAGTCAGTAAACCAAGACCAGGACCGAGACTGAGACCGGGATTAAGACTAGGACTGAGACCGGTTTAGAGCTTGTTTAGTCCTGGTTCAGTCTGGCACCGCAGTTTAAACATAAAATCGAAACATTTTAAAATGAATAATTGTCCCTTTTTTCATTTTGCTTTTGGAGACAAATAATGAAGAAAATAGTTGTTTTTTCATTTTCTTATTTTTGGTTTTATATTGAAAGACGAATGAACGACTGATACACGGATTCTACAGATACACATTTGCCTAATATCAATATTACTCAATTTAACCATTTCCATTACAGGCAACATGTTTTTTTTTTGTAATAATCTCATAACTCATAAAAAAAAGTTATCAGAAGCCATTGAGTATCAAACAGGATAAGAGACCTTGAGATACAAGTGACCTTCAGATACAAATGCTACAAAAACATTGTTATAGTTGCATAATATCAAGAACAAGCTGCATGTATTTTAATTTTTCTTTTTGTACTACTACTACTTTTTGCAAACTTGGTGTCCAGTGCTTTCCTGTAATACTGCAACCTAATATAACATAATAGAGTAAATGCGGTAACACTGGATATGTGTTTTTGTGTGGTCCTCTCTGCTCATGGTGGGAGTGTACACCAAGAGGAAATGCAGGTTGCCAAAATAAAGTGTGTATGAAGGCGTCCTCAGAATGGACTGCTCATGTGTGCTAAACAGACACTGAGCAAACACACACGAAAAGGTTCACAAGCTTAAAAAGTTCTGTCAACACCACGGTTTATTTGTCAGAAGAAACCGGGTTAGCCTTACAAGAACACACAAGATATTTGGCACTCACAGTAAAAGATAATTCCAGGTTTGATTCCTGCTTTGCTCTGGCTTTTTTGTGTGGAGCAGTAGCACTACCAGCTCAGTCCTTATTATCAGAGGTATAATACTCCCTACAATGGAAGCAACACAGACTGGACTGGACTAGACTGGACAACACAATCACAGTGTCTTGAGCAGGGGTGGTAATTTTATTTTATTTTTTTCATGAAGCCACAAGAGAAAGAGAAAATATTGTGGAGGGCTGGGTCAAAATGCTTAACTCAGTTCTGCATAATAATAAATTATTTAATGTATTTTTTTTAAATCAAAAGCAGTAAATAGCATTGTTTTTAAGCGTGTATGTTATGTCTAAGCAATGGAAATATTGAGGTTGCCTTACAAAAAATTTCAATAAAAAAAACCCTCTAAAATAAAAGCAATGCAGCTTTAGTCAATGCATGATGTAAAATTTTAAAATATGTTTATTCTGTAATTCCAAATGAGCTTAAACGGGCTGGACAGAGTAAACCAAAGGGCATCAATAAATGTCAATGTCAGTGTCAATAAACTTGGTAAATAAAGTTCAATTTCAGTTCATTCGCCATCAGGCACTGATTGAAGGATGGGTCAAATGCAGAGAATGAATTTTCATCATGAGGGCTCAATAAAATAGCCAGGCTGGCTCCACCTAGTGCCTCCACACAATTTTATTTCTCTCCAGCGAACAGGTCAGGAATCGGAATACACTATACTACGGTTTGCAAGAACCCGGAAGTTGTAGACCATGCACCAGCAATCAGCGAAAAGTTGTGAAGCCATGATGTCAAACTTGTCGCACCTGTCTGGGTCCCTTTTGTGGTACAACATAACAGTAAACAAAGCGAAGACAGACATTCTGTGTTGGAAACGATTCCTGAGATCGAGGATTTAAAGCCGGAACAAAGACAATATTTGGTGAATTTTATCAAGGGAAAAAACGTTAGTGCCCTTCTTCCTACGCGATTTGGCACATTACATACGTCACGACCAAATACCAGTGATTGATTAATTAAAAAAATGTACCCGCCTACTGTCGAGTGAACGAATCCTAATGCTGCGATGTCAGACGGTTTCCACGAAGTGAAACCGACTGATGAATCAGGCTATCAGTAAAATATTCATTATCTTAATTATAAAGCATTTTGCTGTTCAATAGTCAGGAAGCATGTGGTTAACATGCTAGTTCTTAACCCTCAAGTCATGACTGCAAAATTGGCCTCTGCATGTTGTGAAAAGCGCTTTCAATTAATCGCCGTGAAAAGGGTAAGTGAGGAATAATTTTGGACCAGTGCAAATCGTTTACAATGAACTATTTCAGTTTGTCTGATTTTAACACAGTAAAAATCTGGTCCATGATCTTAAAAGTCACTCTCTTCTTTCTACTATTACACTTTTATTATCACATGGCAGTCGCACCATCCAAAACACATGATGTCACTTGACTCCTCAAACCGTTTTTCCTGCGAACCGAAAAATGCCAAATGTGTCATGACCTAAATATCCAACAGAGTTTGAATGGTGCACATCTGTTTCACACCTCAGTGCTTCTGACCACTTATGTAAAGTCCACGTCACATCACACACTCTGCACATCAAACGCGCTTTTCAGGCCAAAATGCAGCGTCATAGTATTCCACAATGACCTGACCTCCATCTTTTGTTCACAGCATTCAAAACATCAGAAAGGATAGTCCGATTACGCTCACCGGGGCTGTGTCCTATGTCCACACTATTCTCTTTTTAGTGATGTTTGAATGACCAGCAGGTGAAAATGTAAAGCACTCAAAACTTCCCGCAATGCACCTTGAAAAGTAGTTTTTCAGTGGCCATGTCTCATTTCTCTTTCTTCACTTCCTTCTCTTTGATTCCTCTCCTCGATTTTGAAGGAAATGGTTGAGGAAGTCCCACCCACAGAGAAGACACAGGGAGGAGAGAAGATAGAAACTCCTCACTGAGACCAATAAAGTTTGATTCTTTTATCGGATGTCTGCCTCTTGAAGCGTCCCTCCTTCCTGTTTACTCCTTCCTTCTGTGGTTTTCTTTGGGACACTGCTTAATATGACACATTTGACTGACAGCTGAAAAATGGTAGCCTGATTCATGAGCCGGTTTTACTTCGTGGAAACCGTCTGACCTTGCAACATTAGAATTTGTTTGCTCAACAGTAGGCTCGTACTTTTTTTTTTTAAATAATCAATCGCTACTATTTGGTCGTGATGTATGTAATTTGCCAAATCCCGTAGGAAGAAGGGTAATAATTTTTTCCCTTCATAAAATTCACCAAACATAATCTTTAAATCCTTGATCTCAGGAATTGTTGCCAACACAGAACATCTGGCTTCGTCTACATTCATCTCGACCGCTTTGTCTACTATTTTGCTGTTCTACAAAAGGGACCCAGACAAGCGCTCGAGTTTGACGTCATGGCTTCACAGCTCTTCGTTGATTGGCCAGTGTGCGGTCTACAACTTCCGGGGTTCTTGCAAAACTGTCTAGTGTATTCCAATTCCTGACCGAGTCACTGGAGAGAAATGAAATTGAGCCAGCCTGACTAGAAAAATGAAGGATCGAGGAGAGGAATCAAGGAGAAGGAAGCAAGGAAAGAGAAATGAGATGTGTCCAGGGTCACTAAACAGGTCAGTGTAGACCACAGTGAATTGAGAGTTGAAAAAGTATCAGTGGACAGCAACACAGGTTTAAACTAGACACAACATGCTTACCTTAGCTCCAGCTGTTAAAAGATCAATCATTTCTACATCTCACACAAAAAAACTAAGAATCCA